AGAGATTTCTCTGGGGACGACATTGGGTAAGCACGCTTTTCTTTTTCGTCCGTCAGCCCCCTGTGGGGCTCGTTCGGACTTGACCAACAGCGCCTTGCGCCCGTGGCAAACACTTACCTTATGTCGCCCCCCCCCTTCCGAACGCTAGGCCGAAGGGCGGTACGGTGTCCTAGTGCGTGGCCTAGCTACGCCGACCCGTCTCCCTCAGAAGCCAACGCGAGCATCTTTGCCCTCGCTCGAGCAACCGGGCCTTGGTCCCGGTGTCTCCGTGAATCCCCTTTACCGAGGAGACGTGCTCGTGGCACCCTGTGTAGTAATTTTGTGCCCGTGGCGTGGATAAGCCTATTTGCTTTCCCGTCGCGCTTTTGCAACAGGCTGTACTGCGTTTGGTGTTGCCACAATAAAGTGTTGTGACTTTGAGCAGTTTCGTGTTCTTGCCCCGGCGATGGTTAACGCGTGCCCTGCCGCTCGCTAAGACCGGACCCACGCTGGTGGCCGTACTTCTTCGGGATACGTGTACACCACAAGTTGCTAATTCAATCATTACCATCACTCACTTTGGGGTTCTGTATTGTTCACAAGGCAGTAATGGTCTGGCATTGCTACATCACTTGATACCCTGTAGGTTTAGCTAAGCCCCATTGGCAGAGAGTACAGTATGCCGAAGGTTGCATTTTATAGAGGGTGCGCAAACTTCGAAAGTAGCCGGTTTTAATTTGTTTTCAGCTGACGAACTCCTCTATATTTAGGGCCAGGTGTTGTTGGTAATAAGTTTGTTTTAGCCTCTAATAGTTAAAATGACCGAGTTGTCGCAAAGAACAGGAGCGATCTCCTGAGTAGCGGAGTTAGAAGTGGCCCGGCTCGAAAACTCTCGAGCTACCGTATACGCAATGACTGGTTTTCCTCAGCCTCGTGAGACCAGGGGCTCATCTTGCCACCAAACTGCGAACTGACGCAAGCAACATTGGCCTTAGTGCAGTGCTCGTCGAGTGGCAAGAAGGGGTCAAGCGTCTTATCATCTATGCAAGTCACATTCTCTCATATGCGCCGACTACTCGACCATGGAGAAAAAATGTCCTGCTGAGTTTTGCGCGATATCAAAGTTTCGACCATATCTGTATGGTCGAATAGTCAAAGTCGTTACAGACCATCATGTCCTCTGTTGGCTGGCCAGTTTCCAAGACCCTTCCGGCCGCCTCGTGAAATGGAGCTTGCGCCTTCGAGAATTCGTCATAACAGTCATCTACAAGTCTAACTGCGGGTAGCTGAGGCTAATGGCCTTTCGCGCAGTCTACTTGCATTGGCAAGGAGCAATGATGACACTGATGGCCGTTTATTTTTCGCGAACATTGAATCTGACGTGGCTCAAGACGAGCAGAACGGTTCTGAGCTTCAACACCTCAGCAAATATATTGAATGCCACAGCTCAAGTCCACTGCAGGCATTTGGGTGTTTAGGGTCATTTTATCGCCGCAACGCCATCCTCTACAAAAAAATATGGACGATCTCTCTGAAGGAAACACTGATGGGATGTTAAGCAGCAGCAGTGCGCACGGCGTTAACCCGGTTGAAAAAGGCGTCTACGCGGGTGCTGAAAGAACGCTCTGAAACGAAACTCGGTGTAACGTTTACTCGGGTAAAGATTTGTTTGAAACGCATCAGCAAAGGAGGCGGATTGGTCTTCACATTAGTTTCAAGCTAAAACTTAGTAAACAGCTGAAAATGTAGACAGTTTTGTAAACAGCTGAAGTAAACTAGCTGAAAATGTAGACAGATTTAGTTGCGCGTCCACAGCAGCCGTATGTACAAAGCCTGCTAGGCCTATTAAATGACAGATGACGTCCGTATGGCTGCTGTGGACGCGAAACTAAATCTGTCTGGTGTTTCCACTCAGCGTATGGTTGAGAGTTGCGGGTGGTGGAGTGGGTGGAGTGAGACACAAGTGTGTTGCAAGCGGGCGGAGGGGTCAGTCGCTGCTGCCGGTGAGAGAGAGAATGATGCCAAGGGACAGGCGCGAATCGACCTACTTGGCACAGCTCCAACACCTGTGGTGAGGGTTTTTGGTCGCACGTAAGGGAGACCATCACACAGGCTAGTCAAAGAGCTGCTTTGGATCAAAAGAAAGCTTTGTGCTACCAAACAGCTGCTCGTTGTTCCCTCAGGTCTACGTACTCGCATTTTATCTGCCTGCCACGAGGAGGCTTCATACAGCCACTTTGCCAACACGCGTACCCTTACCCGGATTCGTACTCACTGCTACTGGCCGAAACGCACCCAGGTTATCAGGAATTACGATAAAACGTGTAACAATCGTCAGCCCTGTAAAGCCCCACCTTTGACACCCCCTAGTTTATTGAATGCGAGAGCTACGGGTAAATACCGCGCACCTCCTCCAGAAAAGGCCACGTCATTTTGAAAAGAACACAACCTCTGCCTAAAGAAGCACTGGACGTGCAGATGAACCGATAAACAGGAACACGTGTCCATTGCCTACTCTTCTTCTTTTTTCTCTCTTCTCTCTCACAATGCCACATACGTACACGCCGAGGCATAGCCCAATGTTGTCCCATGCCTGTCACAATATGATTGAATGCCAAACGTTGAAAAGTTGCTGAGATGAATTAAACTTGCATCATGCACCGATTTGAGGAGATCATAACATTTAGGCAAAAGTGAGAAAAAAAACAACCGTGCGTTCATAAGTTATAATTGACTTTGCTACTTATTAGGAAAATTGAGATTTAAGCTATATTGGTTTAAGTGCCACATTGTGCGTGCGGAAATGCTGGCAGCAGTGATCTTGCCGATTCAGCTGAGATACATAAAATATCGGAATGAGCACTAAACACCATTTCACCTCTTCTGCTTTCTTTTTGCGTGTCGTGCTGTGAAAGTGTTTAGTAGACTCGCTTTCTGGTCATTTATATATCGAAACTTCCAGCGGCACGCTGGAAATTTCGAACTCGTTGCCGTTCTTTGCGTGACTTCCTAACTTGTTGCTGTAGAATTCATGCCGTCACCCTTGTGGCAAAATATGCAAAATAAATACTCAACTACGTAGGTGAAAAGACATTTATTTTTCGTATTAGAATGATTCCTAGACGGAAGAATCACGGAGGTTTTTTTTTTGTTTCAGATGCGTAGCATCTCTTGCTGGGGCCTTTGTTCCACGGTGTCGGCGGCATCCGCACTCACACTACGCTGCGTAACTCTACTCCTTCTCTTCCCTAAGCAGCTGCTCATTACTCTCTCCACTTCACTCCTAACAACTGCTAGCGCTCACGCCCTTTTCTCTCCTAGCCTTCCTCCCAGTGGCGTTAACACCACCATTGCGTATGCGCATACCCTCCTCTCTCTCCTCTCTTCCCCTTACTCACCTTGCAATGCTGACAAAGGGAGCGTCTTCAAACCTACGCTAGCTCCAACCTCTCCTCTACACATTCAACCCGTGGCGTTTACACGACCACAGTACATATTTTTTATTTTTATTTATCACATGTTTGGACAATACAAATAAATTGTCCGCGGTCAGGACAAAAGGAGGTGCTTTGCCTCCTGCTCCATCTCTCTCGCCTCGCAACGTCAACGTCTGTCATTAGTGAGGAGGGATGCGATTCAGCTGGTGCTGAAAAGGATTAGAAAGAATATGGCTACCGAAAACGACCGTTCATCGATGAGATTCGTTGTCGATGGCGCTACAATGGTTACCGCCGCTTAAGAAAGAGGCAAAATATAGGGACTTCACATACGAAAGCCTGGATTACTTAAAGCGGCCCTTCAACACTTTTTGACGATGGTGAGAAAACGCTGCCGATTGGTAGTCAAGGGTCCCGAGTTTACGAGAGCCGAATGTTATAGCGCAGCATGTGGCCTGGAATTTAGGGTACATTATAAAAGTCAGCTTAAAGTTGCTTTTTCTTCAAAAATGACAAAAGGTGCTAGAGAATCACTAGTAGAAGGCCATCTATCAGTCATTGGCTGTTTTGATTGTGGTGGCCTTGGTCATTACAGAGATCGCCACGGGAAGACATTAGTTGTCACGCGTCCATGCGTGATCGCACTGAAAAAGCCACGTATGTAAAAAAAAAGAAAAGAAAGAGTGCTCAAGGTCACTAGGCGCGCTTGACGTATTTTTTTGCCCCTGCCGTCCCTCCCTGCTTAGCTCTTAACTTCCAGCGCTTTCGTCGAAACGAAAAAGAATGCAGTTGCAACATGCGTCAAGTTTTGGAACTCCGCTCATACAGCACATATTCTTAAAATTTTAGGGGCGTTGAAATTGTGAGGCACTAGCCTCTTCCAGTGAATTTATTCTATGGTTAATTTAAAGAAACTTTCAGAGCCCCTTCAGGTGCCCCAAAGTCTTATTCTTAAGCAATTCTCTGCTTCTTCGGGATAATAAATCCTCCAAAAAGCACTGCCGACCTAGTTTAAACGATAATATACGTAAGCATATCGTAAAAAGTGCCTGACCTCCAACTTTTAAATTACATACTTGTGTGAAGCGCAAAAAATTAGGTAATACCATCGCCAATATGAAGCTGTTGCAGAGGCATCAATAAAACACCCTTTTCGGTTGAAAAAAAAACTCGACGCGTGCGGTATGGCACACTGAGAACTGATACATCGACAAAACTGTTGCCTGTATAAGAAAGTGCCACACAACCGCCTTTTGTCTACCGATCGCCGACGTCTTCTTGTGGGCCATGTCATTCTGCCAGCCTATCGTGGCCAGACGCTCGGCAACCGATCCAGCGCCGACTAGTCGGCTGATCGTTGATATGATGACATGTCACTGTTGTGCCGGCAATTGCTGGTGTATTATCGTTAGCAAGGTCGTACTTTCACAGGTACATGGCAGGGCCGCAGTCATGTAGTGCTATCTTTGAGCCTTTTTAATACATAAATGCCCGCCTAATGAACGCATGCAAGTGTGGCACATTTTTTGCCAAGTGTATTTAAATATTGTGCTCTTCACTTTTGACACCCTCTAACACTTGCAGACGCCTACATTGATGAGCTACATGAACGACCCTCGGACACCAGGCTTTCGCTGGGGCGTTTGTGTTGTTTCGGAGTGCAAAGAAGAAGAACTGGAAGAGATCGCTCGTTCTCGTAAGACATTTTTTGCTGTATTACGCATCGGAACATTCTTCTATTGTATCTGTTTAGCATATTCAGAGAATCCTGCATAAAAAAAAGCATTCTTCATAAACCCTTTCCAGGGCAGGATATGTTTAAAAAAACAGAAAAAGGTTGCCTTATTTTAGTTACCAAGCCAACAGAGGTAGTTTGGAAAAAAATTTCAAGGCTGTACAACGAGTACTTTATTAAAAAAACTGGGACACATTTGTCCCACTGGCGCTAAATTAAAGTAAAAAAATGGGACGCATTTGTCCCAAAGCTCCTTGAGGGCTCCGGAGTAACATTCGGCCGGCATGAAAAGGTCCAAAACACGTTGAACAAAGGGACACATTGCACACAGAACACAGAAGGTTGGCGCACGCTTCTTTCTTGGCAGTCGAGCACCAACGACACCACCTCCTTTTTGCAACCTGCTGAGGGTGATGTCCAGCTCCCAGAAATCGGACTTCATCAGCAGCGCCTACCATTTTTTAACCATGTTTGGCACCTTTTTTGTTGACTCGATACGGGCGGTTGCTGAACCCTTTGAAAGTTTGCCCGTTTATCAGCTGGTGACCAAGGATGAGTCGGAACCAAAGGTAGCTCAATTCACTGACTGCTTTCATTTGAAGAAAAGCATTTGCTATTGCTGCGTCAAGCAGAAAGTAAAAAAATTCAGTACCACGACTTGTTAGATTGTCGATCCACCAGGTATGCGTTCTTTCTTTGGTCAAACTTTTCGACTCCGCCCATCCAGGTATTGTAGCCGGAGACTGGGTACTGGACGGATATGGATTAGCCATTAAAGAGCTTTAAAACAAAGTGTCGCGGGGTGCTGAAAGTTGGACAGCACGTGTACGTTTTTTCTGTCCCGCCACTGATATGCTGTGATGCTCCCTTTCGCCCGCCAGATATACTGTCTCTTCTGTAGCTTGTTATGCCGTTAGATTTCGTCAGGTAAGTCCTTGGGGTTTGGGTGAACCGTTCCTTCGGCCAAAATGCTCTTTTCTTTCAAGGCCTACATTAGGCGTGTTGACGTGAAAAAGTTATTGAAATATAGCTGCGTACCAGCCTCTACTCCGTCAATGAGGGAGAGCACAACATACTCACTGAGACCTACGTTCGCAGATCCGTCTGCACCTTTACCTTCGTAGACCTGTAATTCAATCAGGTAACCTGTCTGGGAGTCGGTTCTGCACCACACCTTGTATCCCCGCGTGATAGGTTTCATTGGGAGGTACTGCTTCAGTGAGGACCAGCCTTTCAGTCGTATCTCACTCTCATCAATGGCTTGGTGCGCTGATGGAGCGTATTGTCTCTTGAAACTTTCATTCAGTTCAAGCATGAGAGGATGCACTCCTGCGAATTGGTCGTATCCTTCGTCACCTTTCTTTTTTTTTCTTTGGTTAGTTCGGTAAGGTGCAAACAGTTCATAATGGCTTGGAAACGACAGAACGACATAACCTTTGATATTTCAGGACAATTGAAAAAACTGTCACTGCTCCAGTACAGGTACATTTGATGTCTGGGGTTTGTGCTCATCAGCAGAAGTATGCCAAAGTATGCACGGAGCTCATCAATTGTGAGCTCTTTCCAAAGCTGTTGGCCTTTCTGTTTCGCAAAGCGGTCTGTCTCGGTCACTAGTGTGTTCATGATACCTTTGTCAAAATAAAAAAAAAAGCTTCACAAGGCGTCGTCGCGAAATTCGCACTCTATTGTGGATTACAAATTTTCGGAACACGAATGACGGCATCCGGTTCGCTGCTATTCCATGCCCCTCTTTGAATTCTGCTTCGTCGCAAATTTTAGGCATTTTCTTTTGCTTCCTTTTCTTTCTTGAATAGGTAGCCTTCCGCTTTTGTGGTTTCCTCGTTGATTCCGCTGCTTCGGCTTCACTGTCTTGCTCATATAAATCAGGTGGAGCGAGCTCGGGTGTAATGTCTTCATCAGTATCTCTCTCGGAATCCTTCGATGTAGGGTCCTCAGAAAGGCTAAAGTATAATTCCAGCGCTTCCTCTCACGTCAGCAATCGTTTACCTGTGTTTTTACAAACGAACAGAAAACAAAAGAGTCGGTGAAATGTTTTACTACACATCGAATGCAGGCAGCGGTGACAGTGGGCTTATCCATTCGTCATGCAGTTTTTGCCTTGGTACCATTCTAAGAAGCTTCTAGGAGTAAGTATTGTTGCCATTGTTGAAAACACCCGATTATTACAAGCTGGAAATATTTCTTCCGAAGCACAGAAAAGGAGACACTCACTTGTCATCTTGAAATATTCTTTTAGGAGACTCACAATGCGCAAATTTGTGCCGCCAGTAAAACGAGAAACACTATTTTGAAAATAATGTACACCTAACGCTACCTACTGTACAGTTTCCAAACGAGATTCAACGGAAATGTAAAAACCTCAATATAGGTGGAAGAACACAGAAAAAGGGCTTGATGCGTCTCATTGTTTTTCGCGAACAATTTTGTGGGGAACGAAAAATGGGACAGATATTTCCAGCTGCCCTACAAGGGGTTAGGTGCATGGACAAACTCTTAAGCTTGCGCAGTAGCAGTGCGCTTATTTATGTATAATGGTGGTTCCACTGGGACACGTGAACCATGCGGAAATAATTTAGGCTTAGTTATCTCACAATTTATAACGATTTTGAGTGCACAATAATAAACAGGATCTCCCCGAAGGAAACCCTGATGGGATGCGAAGCAGCAGCGGATCGCATGGCGTTGACTCGATTGAAACGGGTGTCGAGGCGGGTGCTGCAACAACGGTTTGAAGCAAAATTCTGTGTAGTGTTTACTCAAGTAAACTTTTCTTTTAAACGCAAACACACAAAAGGCGGGACGCGTTGAAGATGCCTGCGCTCAGCTTTCTTTGCTCGCATCTCGTCAATGTTATCCGCGCGTTAACTTTATTCTCGAACGCGATCAGTGTTCTTGACGCGTACCTCACGGGTGTCGCTAATGTTCTACTGCCGACGCTCGCATTCGGCTTCCCTGGCTCGTGCCTCCTCGGTGTTGACGTCGCCATTCGCGAACATATTCGGCTTCGTTCACCCTCTCAATGCCGGCGACAGCCGGGAAAAATACGCAAAAACTAGCGGGAAGCATGCCAAGACGGCGTCCCGCCCATCGGCGCTATCACGCGGCAAGCAGCGGCGCACTGTCCACAATGTCGGCACTGCGAGACTCTCGAGGCATGCGCAGTGGGCATAACCACTGCCTCGAAGCTTCTTCTTGCAGACAGATGAAGCGAGGTGGCAGAGGATGAAACAAGAGAGAGCTCACCCGCGACGAGCGCGAGCAATGCGAGCGGTGCAGACGGATGGAGTTACCCAGGCTAGTCAAAGAGCTGCTTCGCATCTAAAAACGTTTGGAAGTCGACATTTCAGCGTGTTGACACTGCGTGCCTTACAAAAAGTGGTGCAGTACTCAAGAATTAAGGCTTGAATAATTTGGGAAGTGTTTGCTTGTATAGAATGACCAAAGAATTCAATTTAGTAAAGCTCAACCAAGCATTGTGTCCTAGCTTACAGAACTACGAAACTCCAGGGCCCATATTAGCACAAACTACCTACTTTAAACCATGTCCTTAGAGAATATGTCAGCCAACCTTGATACCTCAAAGCATATCACTAGTGTATGATTAGCATATAATTTCATGTATTAGTGATTCATTGTAAGCGCCCATCAGTAGCCTACTATTATTAACGTAATAATATCATTAGCTCTTACGAACGAGAGGCTTCGTGAATTAAGCTCAGGTTGCCTTTTCAATGATCAGGATGTGTAAGTATGTCACATATCGCTCTACACATCGTCACGCTTTTTTTCTTTCTGGGAAGGCGACGGTTTTGTAGATATCGATTCTAGGTTGTTATAACCAACTCTCTCCAGTTACTGTTAAAGGTCTACAATAGTACTATGACTCGTTGAGCAAAGCTCCGCTTTTGCCAGTGAAACGGCGCAGGATGGCAAAAAGACATGTCACGTGAAACCATGTTTGTTAAACACTGCGATATTATCTCCAATGCTGATTCAAATTTGCCCTAAAAATGGCAGCATATCCAAGGAGTGAATGATAGAGAGTGGTGCGAAGCATTCGTCCGTCCATTCGTTCTTGCTTTCGTCCGTCCATGCGTTCATTGTGTGACCGTCCATGCGTACATCTGCCTGTGTGTCTGTTCGTGCGTCCGTCCCTGCGTTCGTCCATGCATCCGCCCCTGCATTCGTTCATGCGTCCATCCATGCATCTGTCTGTGTGTCCGTTCGTCCATCTATTCAACACTTCAAGTACCACCATCTCGCATATTTTCATCATATATTCCCTATATAGAAGCACCGCCATCCAGTGGACATTCCAAGGACTAAACAAAAGGTGGCGCTAACACTTTCTTATGGCTTCCGCATCGGGTATACTTCCCACCTTTAACCACCTCGAGTTCATGGTATATACTAGTTCACTGTATTTATGGCTCTGCGGCCCAAAGGTCGCTAAACCTTTCTAAAACTAAGGAGGTTACGCCAGCGAGTATTACGTAGCAACCCTTTCCTCTCAGATAGTGCTTAATGTACATGCCAATGGCTGCTGATGGGAAATGAGAGACAGGAGAATTCGGCTTTAACTTTCTTACGGCTTGCGCTTCGTATTTACTTCCCACCTTTAACCACCTCGAGTATATGGTATATACTAGTTCATTGTATTCATGGCACTGAAGCTCAACGCTCGCTAAACCTTTCTAAAACTAAAGAGGTTACACCCAGCGAATATAACGTAGCAAACTTTTCTTGTCATATAGTGCTTAATGTACATGCCAATGGCTGCTAATGGAGATCGCAGAGTGCGCGTTAACTTGAAGTCGAATGCTCCTGTCTTTCATTCCCCCTTAGCAGCCATTGGCATGTACATTGAGCACTATCTTTTATTGTTCAACAACGCACAGAAGAAATCTGTCACTGGCACCACCTTGGAGGTAAAAAGTTCA